ATATATATATATATATATATATATAGACTTGAGATCATGTGAGACCAAAAGTTTTCTGTGAGAATATATATAGACTTGGGATCATGTGAAACCAAGGGTTTTCAGTGAGACCCTTAAGACCAATTCTCAACCCTTTGATTAGATCTACAATCTGACAGTCTAAACATTCATAAATGCCACTAGACTTCTCAATAATCACAATATTGTCACCCTGCAACTTTAGACCTTTAGATCATTAGTTTATAAAGTTGATCAATGAACATAAATTGGTCTTACGAGTTTTATGGAAAACCTTTGGTCTCACGTGAACCCAACCCTATATATATATATATATATATATATATATATATATATATATATATATCAAACAGAATCACTGTGATGTGTAGCAAAAAACATTTAAAATATACAAGATCCCATGCATTTCAAAACGTATACCATAATTTAATTAATATTGTAGATAATTAACTTGCATTTCTTTTTACCATGATAAATATCATATATGATACATTGACGAAAATTAACGATTTTTTTTTTTAAAAAACGTCGATTAATTGTGGATATCACATATGATTTGTGATGAAAATTGTAAAAAATTCTTAGATAAACTACTTTAATAAAATGAATATTTTAAATAAAAAAACTAAATCATACTTATTTTAAATGTTATAATAAATAAATAATTATGTTTAAATTACGAAAATTATAAATAAATAAAATCATGAATAAATACCTTAATTAAATTTATTAAATAATCTTTATATAATTAGTTGAATTTTCATATATAATATGTATATAACAAATGACATATATGTCTTTTTGGATGATTTTTAAAAAGTTTTATTTGAGGTATTATTCAATGAAATGCATAACAACTCATCCCACATGAATAGAATGTGAGAACTATTTGATGTGAATGTAACATTCACAGTGTTTTTGCTGTGATGGTTTGGTTTCTTTTACTTTCACAGCGTTTTAATTAGCTATGAAGTTTCAAGTGTAAAAAAATGGTCTCACGAAAACAGGTTGGTCTCACGTGAATCCAACCCTGTCAACGAATTCAACTAATTTTGATTTGTTTGTGAAATTTTGTTAAAAAAACGGTAAATGTGTGTTAAATAATTTAAAAGACGTAAAGATTTTCGTCTTAATTCTTAATAAACAGCGAAAACCGAACCGAATAGGTTCGAGAAAACCCAATTTAGGAATATGGTTAACGTCCATACGTTTAAAAACAGAATGACAATCGATCGACATTTGAATCTTGAAAGAACTCAAACTGATTTCCGAACTTACAATAGAATGTTATTGCGTACATAAAAGCTCGAAAGATTCGGCATGAAGAACATGATTTAAAAAGAATCAAAGAATCAACCAATTAATTAATTTCTAACAGAAATTTTGAGCTTAATGGAATTCATTTATGTTCCTCTTTCACAACCCCTCCTCCAATATTCACTGTCTTAACTTTGAAACGCTCGAGCTTCTGGTTCAGCTCTTCTTGATCAATACCTCTTTCTCTAACTCCGAAATCCCCATCCTTCTGGCTTTTCGATATCTTCTTGCTTACTTTCGTCGCGATCTTTCCCAATAAGTCCTTACCTCGAGAGTCTCCTATCGCTTCTCTTACAAACCTTCCTAACGGAATTTCCAAATCACCATTGTCGTAAACAATTTTCTTGAACGTTTCCGTCCCTCTGATCTCGATTTCTTCTAAGCATTCCCTAAGAGCACCGATTATGTGATCGTCCACCTCATATTTTGGCTCCTCTTCTCCTTCCAAATATCCGTCATCTTGTCGTATCCATGAGGGAATATTTCCGTATTCGGAGTCAGGCATAGAAGGCTGATCAGGAAAGTATTGCATAGATTCTGTGTTATCAACAAGATCATTAAATGCCATTTCAAGACTTCAATTGAGACAATGGATGTTGGCTTATGAACGATATATATATATATATATATATATACACACGGATTATTCTTGGTGTGGGCAGCAAGATTTGATTAATCAACATTCCAAAGGGTTGACGTAGATTTTCAGAGTTGAACAAGTCTTGATCGAGATTGCTTGTAAAACTTGTTCTCCACTAAATACAAGACTTGTAAGCCAAGGTATAAACACCCACGGATTAATCACGTAATCATGAATGAGATTGTTTGTGTTTGTGGTTGAAGTTTCAATTTGACAATTGAAAGACTTCTGCAGCCATTCCGATAAGGACAGTGACTGAACGACTAATTAGAAACTTAGGGTCGTTTATTAAACGCTTACTTGGTAAGTACTTATCCGATAAATTTCTTCATCGGATGAATATGACAAGGGCCAAGAATCATACCGAGTAAGAGCGATGAGAAGGATGGAGAGTCTTACCCAATAAGTGAAGATGACGACTCTTACCCAGGTAAACGATTACCTGGTAAATTGAATACGTTTTGATGTACTAAAATCTTACGAATTAAAATAAATTATAATGTGGACTTGTATCGGTAAGCACTTACCGGGTAAACATTTGGGTAAAACAGCCCCTTAGTTAACTAAGGGTAGGGTCTTTGGGATTCTCTTTGGAAGTCACGAGTTTGAATTCTGCAAGGTCAATGAGGATTTTCCTGACTATACTTCAGAGCCTCTAAGATTAATCGAGGTACGTGCATACAAGCTGCCTTGAACATCTACGGTTAACAAGAAAAAAATTTAAGTTTCACATCTTATAAACTTTTAATTTTTGAAGAAAACCAAATTAAAACATTATATATAAATCAATAATAATACATAATAAAAAATCAATTTATTACTATTTTACTTTTTTTTTTGTAAACAATAAAATGGAATCTTGAATATTTTTGGAACTCATATTAATATTTGGTTGTCAAAGTTTTGAAAACTTACAAATTTATCTTAATTTTAAAAAAAAATGTAAATTAACTTAAATATTATTAATTTTTTAATTAAAAAAATTATATAGAAGCCGGATATTTTATTCTTGTTAATTTAATACCATTTATATCTATATATATATAGAGAGAGAGAGAGAGATAGTGTGTGTAGAGAGGATATTTAGAAAATCCCTAAACTACCCTTAATTAATATTTTAAGTTAAAATTATCAAAACTATTAATTTCTTAATTTAAACCTTTGATTTATAGTTGAGATTAGATATCACATTTACCACAAACAAAATAGTTCTCATTTGATATATATATATATATATATGTGTGTGTGTGTGTGTGTGTGTGTGTGTGAATTATTATGCAATCTTTTACATTTGTACAACCAATATAACATAATCTCAACCGTTCATTTAATTTGATGAATATGTGATTTCATAAAAGTTATGATTGTTTCCTAATATAAAATATTAGTCATAATTAATAAACTTTAATCATCTTTTATAAATATTCAAATCATAATAAATAAACTCTTACTATTTTTATAAATATTTTAATTAATTGAATTTCTGTATAAATGTAATGGATTGAATTGTTGTACATGATAATAAACTCACGAGGACTTATTTGACTTAATCAACCTAAGATCAGTTACCAAATCCACCAAACAAATTAAAAGTAGTTAGGCCCTCACCAAATTCATATATTAAAAGTGTCTTAACTGATATAGATATGTAAAAGGACCTTTTTATCCTTTGGTCAAACCAAGTATACAGTTGATTTGGTCAAACCATGCATACAGTTGATATGGTCCCTCGCTGCTTTACCCCCACAATATATGCCAATTTGGACCACTTTCATTCTTATTTTCAATCTAATCTAAACTAAATTGTATGAAAAAATAATGACCATAAATTGATTCCTATTTTGGATAACATAATTTTAAAACTTTCATTTTACTAATTAAGAAGTAAAGTTTTAATCATTTAAGTACTCAAATAACCGGTTGAAACATTAATTCTTTCTTCTAATAAACCACAATACATAATAAAAAAAATTAGATTAAGACATCCATATCTGCAAAAATAATACCGAGTTAGATACCACATCACTCGTCACATCAACATTGTAAACGGTTAATGCTTCAACCGGTTACTCGGATACTTAAACGTTTAAAACTTTACATCTTAGGTACCAAAATGAAAGTTTTGAAAGTACGTTACTCGAAATAGGAATTAAGTTAAAATATGTTACTTTTTCATGCAATTTGCATTCAAAATAAATACACAAGTTTAGGAATTATATTTCTGTAACTATACGCAACATTTTGAATTCTGATTTTTAAAGTCACGATAATAATCAAGTCGATCATCGAGGCCGGACGTAGCCGAGGACCGTGTAAAGTGTTTGTGCCACGGTTAGGATCAGAAGAATAAGAGCTGCCATCGCGGATATAAACGACCATGGCGTATCAAAATAAGTATACCTAAAACTAGCCCATTGAACGTGCCACCCGCTCCGGTAATGACGGTTCACGTCGTCGAATAACCGAGCCAAGTAACACGAATCGATATCGAAAGAAATATCCTTCCCCATGTTGTTAATAAACGCCGCAACTTCGGCATCCGTACCAAAATAATTCTCGATGATGTTCCAATCGCATAACAACCCGACGTCTCTAGACGTATTTATCAAACAATCGAGTAACGTAACGTAAGTCGTGAAGTGTTTGGAACATGCGCTATGACATTGTTCAAACGCTATGGAGTTTAACAAAAACGCGCTCATGAAATCATCGATCGATATCGGCGGCATGTGGATTACGCCGTGCTTGAAGTTAACGATTAGGAAACTCTCGGCTTCGCACGGCTTTAACTTGATTCCCGCACGACGAAGCTTCGAGATACTATGGATTATATGCGCTGGTGGGTGGTTATCGGGTTTCTCCGATGATTCGACCTCCGGCGGAAGAACAGTCGACCGGAGAAGATCGAGCAAATGCTTAGCTTTGATATTCGCATACTTTTCAAGAATGTTTTCAGGTCTTTGTAGTGCATAATTGAAAAACCCTAAAGCTAAGGTAGCTAGGGTTTGACTCGATTCTTCATCTGACATCTTCGTCAAATCGAACAAACATTCAAGAACGAAAAATGGGATTTGATTCTCGAGCCTGATGAGATCTCGTAAGAAAAAAGAGAAGATCCACGACATCGTTATAAGAGGATCATGATCATCACACTTAACCAACCCTGCAATCCTTCTAAAAAGTTCGATGATGAAGCAACCATCGAGCACCAACATCTCGATGAACTCATCGGTGCTGTAGTCGATGGTCCTGGAGTAACATTCTCGAGCTTTAACCTCGAGTGGTTGGACGGCTTTCAAGTAGTCTGCGAGGGTCAACCCTTTGGGTTGAGTTCGGTTCAGTAAATGGTGGAGGAACCGCCATTTGTGTTCTTGGATCATCTGGAGGTGGGGTTGGCCATGGTGGAAGGGTCCGATGGAGATGATGTGAGGTCGGTATGACTTGCCGTTGACGTCAATTAGGGTTTGAGGGACTTTGAAGATGGAGCAGGTGGGTTTGCCGGCGGCGACACTCAGGAGTTTCGGTGTATCGGAAAGTTTGTGTTGCATCGAGTTGAGTCGATCTCTGTTAACTTCCCAGATTTTGATGGCATGTTGGGGTTCAGATTCTTGAGAATCGATGTCCATTTTCACTTTTTCTTGAAGAATTTCGTTGATTGTTGTTAAATATATAAAGAAAATGACTGGAAATGCATAGGAGGTGGGAAGCAAGACGCTAACATGATCATGGTTCCGTGGCGTCAAAACATGATGAGTTGTTCTTCTTCTTGTCCACTCATTTCTTTTATTTTATCTTTATTTTAGTAAATATCGTATTTTAGAGATTTCAACCATTTATTATTTTATTAAAATATTCTTTAAATGGTTCGTGATAAGGATTAATAAAATCAAGACGTGCCCATTTCAATTAACAAGGGGCCGTTTACTAAACACTTATCCGGTAAGCATTTTCAAGAAAAAATTAACACCATCATTTAATTGTTGGGTAAGATTTTAGTCCATTAGAACAACATTGTATGCAACAAAGTAGGAGTCGTTGTCTTCACTTACCGGATAAAACTATTGGTTCTTGTCTCGCTCTAACCGGGTAAGATTCTTGTTCCTTACCATATTCATCCGGTAATGTAATGTGATTTGGTAAGCCTTTATCCGGGTAAACGTTTGGTAAACGACCCCTAAGATTTGTTAAAGTCGTATTCGTTGAGTGATGGGTATCTAATAAGGAGCATTACATAACAGAAGGTTTAAGCAAGAACAGTAACCAAATAAAGAAACATAAAGGTTTAAATGGAGCGGGCCGGATGGCGGACACAGATCCGCATGCTTTCTGGTCGGTGTCGGTCTGTTCGAGTCGGATCATAGAGTGGGCACAGCCCAGTCTAACCTGACCTGGTTTTGGGCCGAGTTTTTGTTGGGCTACTAATTTTATATTGTTTTGGGCCCATATGGTTATCTTGTTGGGTTTTCTATGAGAGTCCGAGACTTTTTCTTTTGTTAATGGTAAATTGGTAATTTGTGTTTATATTTAATGTCTACAATTCAATTTGTGGTTTAACAGTAGATTAAATATTTAAATCATAATCAATTAATCGTTGTATAATTTTTACATATATAAATATTTAATTTCAATATGAAATAAAAGATACCCGATTGACCATAACTGATTGATGATGTGTATTTTCAGGATGTGATCAGATAAAGAACAGTAAGACAAAGGTACAAAATTAAGGACTCATGACTAGGTTGACGGAACTGAGTTTATGTTATTTAAGTTAATATGATGTTTTTTTAGACATTGTTTTGCTGGTTTTTCATTAAATATTGTATTTATAAAGTTGTTTATGTGAATTAATTTGTTTGTTTAGATTGAGAAAAGTTTTCTTTGATAGTTTTTTATCGTAGATGGAATGAGCAGTGTCTTTTAGTTGGAAATGGCATGTTTGGAAAAAAAAAACAAAACTTGGTTTTCTACATAAAACTCTTCCCTAAAAGTTTAGAGAATAAACCACCCTCTATAATATTTAGTCATTATCAAACAGTCATGTATAACTAAGTATGAAACTTAACAAAAATTGAGAATCTTACCAAGAAGAAGCCTCTGTTAAATACTTAAATGGTTACCAATAATTCATTTTGATGACCAAAAATGTTATTTAATAAGGTAAATGAAGATACTGACTCTTGTTAATAAATGCTTATCCAATAAGTATTTGATAAACGATTGCTTAATGTTTGTTTTTTTAATTTGGTGAACATATTAAATAATAATTTATAAAAGATAAGATTGAATAAGTGAATTATTTTTAGTTGGTGTGGGTTTTTGTCAATCTTCAAAGAAGAAGATTCTTACGTAAATGTACCCGACACCAGATGCCATTTACCATTTTTTAAATAAAATATCGAAATTAATTTATGGTTCCAGAAGCTTCTTACGTAATGTTTGGTCTCATTGAAATACAGTGTTTTGGTTTGTTGAATTCTGATAGAATTTAAAGAAATTAGAATCGTCAATTTTATTGATTAGATTTTATTTATGCGTTTTGTTTATTTTTTGAGTTACGTTAAGAAATTCTAATTTATTTATTCTATTTTTTTTTTTAAATATTACGTTCATATATTTGTTACATTCCATCATTGTTGTCGACGTCGTCACTGTCGCTTTCACCCCATCACTGTCATCATCAACGCCACCCCATTGCATCATTGTCACTGTCGCCACCACAATCATCACTACCGCCACTTCGACCATCCATCGCCACCACTACCACTTTCACCCCACCGCCGCTATTATATCGAATGGATCTAATAGACAGATTACAATTCTTTTTACATATTTCAAGTCCAACAGATTTATTTTATGAACCAATTGCCACCTAATATAGGTTTATTATTAATATTTGTTATAAAATATAAAGGACAAATTACATGAAAAAATAACGTACTTTACCTTGATTTTTATTTTGTGTAACCTATTTTCAAAACTTTCATTTTGACACCTAATATGTAAAGTTTTTAACATTTAAGTATCTAAGTAACCGGTTGAAACATTAACTATTTCTTCTAATAAACCACAATACATAAAAACTAATTTTAGATTAAGATATTCATATCAGCAAATAATATTGAATTAAATACCACATCACTCGTCACATCAGCATGGTAATCGGTTAATGCTTCAACCGGTTACCCGGGTATTTAAATGCTTAAAACTTTACATCTTAAGTACCAAAAAAAAAGTTTTAAAAGTATGTTACCCAAAATATGAATCAAACTAAATAATCTTATTTTTTGATGTAATTTGTCCAAATATAAAACAAAATTCAGTAGCCAAATTAGATAGATACTTTGGCTTAATCTCCACCCAACATCATGTCTCACCAATTTTTGTAGCTACGTTTAAATAGAATATTCGTTTATTAATTTTTTTTTAATTTTTTAATAATTAGTTACATTATTTTTATTTAACTACCAAATTTAATTGATAAGGAATTGTCCAATTCAACAAGATTGATTAAATATGCTTTTTCAAATATCTGATTGAAAAAGACGAGGATTTTATATTTTTAAACTTTGATGCAATCATTACATATGGTTTCAGTATTATCCATAATTTATATGAACAAGACATACGGTTACATATGTCGCCGTATTATTCCTCAGTCGAAAGGTAGAAAGAATTGAGTTTCGTGAAAGGTGCAATCGTATTAATTTGTTGTGTGTCACCGTATGTATTTTGAAACTATAATGAGAACAAGTTTTATTTGGTAGAGTTGGTTTGCAAGGCTTTTATTCCACCCCAGACCCAAGTTCGAATCTTGTTATTTTATAAGTCAAATGGTGTCACCGTTTGGAAAAAATTATGTATATTTGTTTCTTATAGTCACGGTGTCACTGCTTAAAAAAAATTCCGATTGTTTTTCTTATGGTCAAACGGTACCACTGTTTGAGAAAAATTGGGTCCGTCCCTGGTATTCATTATTGAACAAAATGATGCAAATACACGTATAATACTATGTGGGTACTCTTACTAAAACTCCAAGTAGAATCAATATCAATCTTGAAATAAGTATCTTATGGTGAGATGAAAAACCATCCACAAGATGAGCTTTTAGGATTGCTTTTTTTTACCGTAAATGTTATTGGTTGTGACAAAAATTGTAATGATCAAAATATATGCACAAAAAATCATCATCTAACCACGGCCCAAAAAAAACCTTGTGCTAATTAGCGCATACACAGACAGAGCCCGAGGTTAGGCAGAAACGTACAATCGTACCCTGTATTTTTGTAAAACCCTTGCTAGAATTTCGAAAAGTTGGACTTATTTTTACACCCAAATTTCTTCTCACGCTTTTCATTGCCTATCAAAAAAGTTTGTGTCTTTTCTTCGTCAACTGTCCACATAATTCACCTCTGAGGCTCTGATTGAAAGAAGTCACTTTTAAGATGGAATTGATGAAAATACCCTTGATCATTAAAACCTATTGTTTCGTTTGCATCATTGAATTCACTTGTAGGTAAAAACCCATCATTGTTTCGCATCTATAAGTAAATTCTATGAACGAAAAATGAAAATTCTCGGACCTACCGATCATTTTGCAAAAATAACATTATTAGATGAGTTAACAAGTTCTTGAGCTAATTCCTCCACCAAAACCGCAAAAATCAACGCTTCTATGTCCATCCCCGTCTCTTTGATCTTCTCTTCATCACACCTCTTCCACCCTTCACTTCTAAAGTCCGTCTCCACCATCATATCGATCGTGTTCAATTCAACCACTGTCCAAGAATGCAACCGCTTGCATACCCTTTGCACGACTACTTGGGGTTCTTTGTTCTTGTTCTCTTCTGCAATTAGGTCGAATACGAGCTTCTTCATGTACCAAGGGATTTTCCCAACACCCAAATGGTTGAATATCTCCCTAACAAACTCTTCGTTAGTCGTCTCTTCTTCATCTACTATAATGTCTTCTTCATCATCATCGTAATCATCATCATCATCATCATCAGCAGCAGCATCTTCATTATAACGATCTAACATGTGTTTTTCAAGTTCAATTGGATTCAATCCTGCAAGCCTCTCGAACCGTTGAAGCTTTTGCAAGAGCTGATGTTTCGCTCCTGTAAATTCGAAACAAGAAAATCTTTAGAAGGAATACAATACATATAGTTTAAAAAATTAACCTAAAATCTAAACATTACAATACCCTTTCAATTATACACATTAGGGAAAAGTTCAAATAACATCCATCAATATTTTAAAAAACCGAGAGAACCAGTAGCATACATATATACATACATCGATGCATATACAATATCAAAATATGTATTCGTCAATTAATACATTAATCAATGTAATATATAGTACCATTTGCACATTCCCTAATACACATAACATGATATACATATACATACATATGTATACATATATACTGTATAGACATTCATTTATACTGTATGTACATATACATATATACCGTATAGACAAATTGGTTATTAGGGTGTTCCTCAGAATGGGAGAAGGCAATTAGTACTTGTTTACTTCACTTTTTCCTGCAATAATCGAATTAAGTGGCCGACACAATTCCATCAAGCCAGAAGAGGTTAAAACGACCACTTAACTTTAATAAACCTCTTGTTTTTTTGGATATGTGTGCATGTACAAATTCCGATGCACAACGTACAACTCACTACACCCAAACTGATGCAAGACAAGAAGCATAAAACATAAACAAAATGCACATGTTACCAAAAGTTGAAAGCGACTCCAAAATCAATTAGATTTTGGGAAGATGTTGATGGTATAAAAAATTAGGGTTTTAGGAAATATGTGGACACAAATACTATTTATTAATCGTTAATCAGTAGGGACTTACTTTCAACGCTTGCGTAGCTGCATTCGATGTCGTAAACATCCTGTTCCCTGGGCCCGCCGTCGTGTTCTTCCTCGTCGTCATCGAACAGAGGGTCAAGTACTGATACGGGACTACACTGTTCTTTCTCTTTATCGTCTTCTTCGCGAATTTCTTGAGCGTGCTCGCCATCGTAATTTTCTTTATCCTATAACATCACCAAATTTCGATGGTTCAAAACGTTTACGATGAAACAATCGAAGACGAAATTCTGGATCCAATTTTGACCGCCTTAATCCCGACTTATAAAACCAACTGAGGGGTTGTTTGTAAACCTCTTAATACTTCTGTTAAGAGCCAACATCTGAATCGTTAAGAGGTGAATCTTGTTTGGCAAAAAAAATTTGTCTCTTAATGGTTCTAAAACTCTCTGAATGATTTTGTATCATGGATCTTCCTTAACCATTAAGAACCCTAATTTCATTATACACAATTACCAAATAATTATATTTCATTTTACACTATATCATAAAAAATTTTTAATCATTCTGACCACTTAATTATTCTACACCAAACCATTCAACAATTTTCAAACACCCCCAAATAACTTGAAAAGTTGACTTTTGACCTTTCTTCCAGCTTGTTCTTTGAGCACCCATGCTAGCATTATACATGTGTGGCTATGGGATTGTTTGGTATTTAATGCTATAAAGAATCCAAACATATGACGACAAATTTGGGTTTTGTCGTTTTCTGGGAAATTTAATTTACTGTGTATTTATAATAAAAAGTTTTTTTTATATATAATATGAAAAGACATAAACACCCCCAGGGAATACTTTGTCTCAATGTCAAACCATGGGTGTTTTTGTCATTCAACATGCGATTCTGCCATGGGAACAGAAAGCACCCAATACGGACCACAAATCCTTAACTGAGTTACGGGTTAACTCGGTACTGATGCCGATTCTGACCGCCAATTTGACCCTAACTCGGATTGGGTTTGAATTAATGTGTACAGTCAATAATTATATTCATAAATGCGACAGTAAATTGCGTTTTTCGTCCAGGCAGTTTGTTGAAAATTTCATTTTTAGTCCTTATAGTTTTAAAATTACGATTTTCATTACTATAGTTTATAATTCAGTATTTCTTTAACCTAATGATTTAAACTTTATTATTTTTTCATCCATTAGGTTTACAATTCATTTTTATTTTAGTATTTTATATTTAAAAGTTAGATTTCAAAACCACAAAGACAAAATAATCAATTTTAACAAACTACAGGGACTAAAAACGTAATTTAATTTAAATGATATATGAATGGAGGATGGAGACAAAACCTCTTGGAAGTGGCGGCTCGGAGATGCCACCGGCGATGAGGAATCCGGTCTCCGGCGAGTTGGGGAAGGACTTCTTTGAAGGGAAAAACGGAAAGGACTAGAAGGATTTGAGCAGAAGCATTTTTCACATGAAATGAAACAATCGTTTTCTCTTTCTATGTTTACAAACTCGATCTCTTCTGAATCGTGAATTGATCTTGAGCTGCATGAAGTTTCCAACTCTGACGACTTCTCCGACCAATCGGCACTGCTAATCCTGCTATTGTTACAAGAGAACGATAACCGTTTCTCATCAGCGCCGTCGCCGGTGCCGTTAACCATCTTTTTCCGGCTTCTTCTCGTGGGTGGTGAAGATGGTGTTACGTTAACGGGTCCGATTTCATGGGTTTTTGTTCGGGTGCTCCGGTCTTTTAAACGTCTGAGAAGAGATCCGAGTAACCCGAATCCGATATGTTTGGATGAACCGGGTTTAGGTTTAGAAGAAACCGACTGCTTCTGGACCCTCGTGGCGGCATCAAGTAGCATGGCGGCAGTCCTGGCCGGAATATGGAGGAAGACGGCGGCATTGTTGGGGGTTTTATTATTAAACGGACTCCTCGTCTCCTTCGAAGGAAAATCTAGAAACGGAGATTTCCTAAAATCCGGCGAGTCCTGGAACGAGAAAAGACAGACGTGGTTGATACAGAAATTCCGTGCGGCGGTAGAAGAGGAGGTGGATTCTACAATCGACTTCCGTTTTCTAAGCTGAAGAGCGTCGGTGGCGGTGGCGGTGGCGGTGGCGGTGGCGGTTCTGAGTTGAGAACGGCGGTCGGCGATGAAGTTTTTGAGCTGAAATGGTTCCTGATCTTCTCTGAGTAACTCGTGTAGATGTTTACGACCCATGATTACAGAAACTTTTGGGTGGCGATTGATTTATGATTAGGAATCTGAAACAAGATTGAAAATGGATGGAGAATTTGAAATTTGAGGTTGTTGGAAGAAAAGGGGAAGATCGGAAATTGTGAAATGGTGGAGTACAAACAGGGAGAGGAAGTAATGAAGAGGTTTCTACTTTTAAAATGGAGAGCAATCACAAACCTCCACCGCGGGCAATCACCAAATCATTTATTGTGTCATAAAACCATGGGGTTTTTGTATTTAATTTTCGAGATATTAATTAAAATATTTATTTTAACCAATTGGTTTTATTTTTTAGGTATTTTTTTTTAACTAAGGGGTTGTTTATTAAACATTTACTTGGTAAGTGTTTACCGGATAAATTTCCTTATCAGATAAACATGAGAAGGGTCAAGAATTTTAGCGATGAGAATAATGGAGCGTCTTACCCGGTAAGTGAGAATGACGACTCTTACCTTGCGCATTCGATATGTTTTGATGTACTAAAACCTTGCGCATCAAAATAAATCATAATATTGACTCCTACCAGTAAGCTTTTACCATGTAAGCAATTGGGTAAACGGCCACTAAGTTTATCAAAATATCAACATGTCGCAATTGTAATTTTTTTCTACGGACTTGAGTGAAAAATGAAATTTTTTTCTACGGATTTGAGTGAAAAATGTAATTTTTTGCGGATAGGAGTAAAAAAGTGTAAAAATTATTATTTTTCAGCGAGTTCCGTAACTGTGGACGTGGGTTTGACAGACCTATTGCTATTATGGTAAACTTGGAAAGAAAATGACTATCAAGCGAAACCAACCCTGAAAAATAGTTGTTTTAATAAATTTCTCTTAATTTTGTTAAATGTTATTAATTCATTTATTTGTTTTATTTATAAAATAAATAATTATAAGTGGTAAATTATGGGGGTGTTTAAAAAAATCATTGAATCGTTTAAACCGGTTGAACCAAGTCAAATCAGACCGTTTTTTTCTAAATCGTCGTTCGACTTGTTTAATGTTTGTCCAAAATTCAACTATTGTTGGTGGATTTGATCAACTCTATTTCAACTTGCTCAATGTTTGTTTTAAATTTTATACATAAACATTTATTTTTATAATTTGGTATACTATTTCATATTAGTGTCACAATGGTAAAAAAAATATTTTGAATATAGATTTTTTATTTTTTTTATTTTTTAAAGCACATAAGAGGCCTAAACTGATCAGACCAAACTGTCTTTTCGTGGTCCAGTTGACTTGTTTGGTCATTTACTACCAAACCGCTCGGTTTAAAAATATCCCAAACCACCATTGTGATTTGGTTTGTGGGGTCAAACTATCCAAACCAGACCGCAAACACCCATAGCAAATTGTATAAAAACTGTCAAAACCAGTTTGTATGTGTTGTTTCATATATGAAATAACAAAGACGAGCATATAATATTGTTTCTTAGATAAAATGTTAAATATTGTTTTGTGTACTGAAGAGACATAAAAATACGTTATACAAGAAGCATACAGTCATACATACACACAAAAACAAAATATGTAAATAGTGGCAGATTCAGAATTTTTGCCTGTAAAGTCGTCCGATGCGTTTTTAGCCAATTGCACCATCTCAAAAGATTGTTTACTTTTTCTAAAACGGTTGATTACTATAGCTACTAATTGACGAGCTACGTATTTTTTTAGTGAACTGAATAGCCGTATTTGGTTATTTTATGTCGTCGTTTATTTTATTAATTACGTTTTATCAAACATGACTAGTCAATTATCTTACAGCTATTAGTTAATCACAGTTTATCAGTTATTTTACAAAATATAACCTAAGTTTATCAGATTCGAGTTCACTACAATATGCATTTAAACCAGATAAATTTCAATTTTATTAAAAAATGGTCAAGTTGACAAAAAAATTAATAACATCACTAAAACAAAATATAAAAGTTTATATTTAATATGACGATTAATTATCTGATAATAATTTTTTAAACCATAGGTTTTACAAGTCGGGGGACAAAAGATATCTTCTTGTTTCCTCATTTATTTATCTCCCTTGACCATGTGTCCCATAACCGTACCTGATAATCAGGCTGAGTCTTTTTCACGCCTTCAATTTAACCATAACATGTTATTGTAAACAATGTTTCAAAATCTGGTTCAATCTCGTGGGCCAAATCAGACCCGTTTGTTTTCAACCAGATGAAATTTAAAATCTCAACTGTTTTTAGAAATATGTTTTGACTGGTTGTACTTTAGTCGTAAGGCGTAAAAGTTATACCTAAATTTGTTATTCTATCTTTTTCTTATTATTTAATTTAACGTTAACTTTTATATAAACAATTGATTTGTCGTTGACTTGTTGTACCTCTTGTACCACGATCTACATTATTATTATTAAGTCGGAATTTGAAAACTTTTAGTACGTCTTATTTATAGATCTTGTGAACCTTTTCAAATCATGGTACGATTTAATTAAAAGAATTGCAAAACTATCGATGTATAAAACATTTTCTTACGTAATAATAATATCACGAGTCAAGTCTGATCTAATCATGGACGTTTGATAACCCGTCTCGCCTCTGAAAAAAATATTTTAATAATATCAATTTAATGGGATTGATTCAAATAAAAAAGGTTATGTATTATGAGAAGGTAAGAGAAGAAGATTCATATGTGAATCAATTAAAAAATTCGAAAAATCTATTCTAAAATGCACATGTGAATCGATGTTACAGATTATTCATATATGCTTTTTTAGATGGGTTTTTTTTATATAATTTGAACATTCTATTCAATTTAATTTCACATATACTTAACTATGCGTTTACGGCTCTTTTATTTACAAAAATATATAAAACGAATAACCAAAATTGGTGCCACTAAATAAACGCATTATCATAGACACCTTCTTTTATATCATAATCAAGTTAAATCATCTACTGAAATTATAAAGAACAAATCTTGACGTTGATGTTTGTGCAAATAAAAATCAACAGATGTCGATGCATTTAAGCAGTATACAAAAATACAGTTAACTCGTCCTTTTTGTAATATATACGAATGCATTTAATCCGAAGCAAATAAAAACACATGTTGGAAAAAAGCAAAACTTTAGGCAAATCCTCAAAAGAAGCAAAGAGTAGACGTGAATTTTGATGCAAAAGGTGTGAGTGTTTGAGCATGTCAACTTTTTACCACAAGATAAGGAAAAAAAAAAAAAAAAAGTTAACCATTTTTTGGTTTATTCCAAATATTTAAAAGTATTCTCTGTTTTTTTTTCCTCTTTACTTTTTACAGTTTATTTTATTAAAATATTCATTTTTTATTAATAAAAAAGATTTTTCTTGAAAAATTGAAATGATTATGTTTGATGAGTTGGCAATAGATGTTTGAATTAACTAAAAAGGTGGTGTATGATTGGTTTGTACTTGGTTCTAAAGATTAAAAGGTGGTGTATGATGAGTTTTTTCAGGTTCGAATCCAAGGAAGAATAAAAGTTTTTTTGTGGCCACGCAGGTTTAAATGCGGTGACTATGGGCTACCCACAAAGCGGGTGGTCGTTCTGAGATTAGTCGGCTTGTATAGCGGGTTGGATATTCCGGCTAACAGAAAAAATAGATGTTTGAATTAGTTTCTGTGTAACTCGACTAATGTTATAAATTTTGAAGATGACAGTTAGAAAAATTTCATTAATCCTAAGGATACTCGAACTAATAATTTATCAGTTGAGCTAGCCTTCGGTGTATATATAGCGTGGACCGATTTAAGGGAATACTGTAGAAATTTGAGGTATTAGATTTGGTTTATGAAGAATGATTAAAGTATTTGCTTTTAATAGATATCAGAGTTCAAATTATGCCGGTGGCAAAATATATGTTATTTAGTTTTTTATTGTGTTTTATTCGTATGGTCTTTGTTTTAATACAGGAATTGTAGTGGGGCTTCTTTTTAGAAATACAAGCCAGTAAGCTTTTTTAATTGGAGATGCTTTAAGTTATCATGATTTTATTAAGTAAATTGCATCTTTTTCTTTTATGGTCAAATGGTGTCATCGTTTAAAAAAAACTGACACCTCTCTAATGCATACAATATTTGAGATAGGAACTTGTTGAACTGTATACTGTAAAATCAAGTCAATACAATGCATACAAGAAATGCAGATAGTTGATGATGTATATTTTGTATCAATACTCTGAATCAAATTATAAAAGTAATACAGTTAGACAAAAGAGCCGGGATATATTCGTACGAGGGCTCAAACGTCTTTAAAACAAGATATATTTCAGCAACAAACAGATTCGCTCGAAATTCGATCAATCTAATTACAAGACATTACATACATGATCATCAATTTCTGATCGTCATAAAATTAACGATTCAAGTGATTAGAGTTAAAATTAGTTGAATTCCAGTAATGCCCTTTGAGTAGTTTGATGTAAAACAAAACATCAACATTCCATGAATTTGTCTGAATTGTAGATTCATATCCGAACGACTAAAAGCACTCATCCCTCACCTAGACTTTTTGATCCAGATTTTTACCAATTTTCCCCTGACCCGACCAGTCCACTACCCCCCTTTTTCATTCAACTTTAATTCAAACTGCTTTTTGATTCCACTCAACACCTTTTTATTTTAAAATTAACTATAATTAACTTTAAACAAAAAATTTGGAAAAAAAATACAATTAGGTTTTAATTATTAATTATGTCATATTATCATATATTTTTTTTTACCTGTACTGTATACATAATTTTAACAATATCTTGGTTTAGCGGATCAGTATAACTATTAAGGGTATAAACAAGGGCGAACCCACTTTATCAGATATGGTTGGATGAACCATCGCTTCGTTCCTCCGTCATATTGTAAAAATTACAGGGTCGTGAAATATGTCATTGTATCATTTTGTTGTGTACAACATTATATATTTTAAAACTACAATGAGAACACAACATTCTCTTGGTAAAATTGGTTTGCATAGTTTTTTTTACACACTAATCATGGGTTTGAATATCGTTTGTGTTATTTTTTATTTTATTTTTATCTTTTAGTTTCAAATGTATTTTTTTTATTAAAAGATTTGAA